TTCTGCCTCGAGGTCCATCACCAGGTGTTTCTCTCTTTTGCTTTCCTCTGCCTGACTGGTGATGTTGGTTGGTGGTTTGCATCGAGCGCACCCTACCCAGCGCCATCTTTTCCGCCACTGCCAGTCCCAAACCCAGATTAAAAAAAAGAGGAGGGTAGGACGTGGGGTTAACCCCACCCTGGAAAAAGCTCACCTGCTACAGAAATGCTAAAAAGAAAAACAGGGATTAACTTCCTGGATGACCGTAGGTGGTGAAAGCCACCAAACCAATTCTTCTTTCAACCAGGAGAACCTACATTGGCACATAGGACGTCAGGTGGAATATAGTTCTAATAAAAATAATAATTAATGTTTAATTTGTTGTGGGGTCCACCTCTGTCAGAGGGACTTGCTGATTGGAGCTGGAGGTGGAAGCAGACGTGTCTTTCCTTGGTTTGCTGCGACTTTAAGTCCTTCCCTTTTGAAAACCATCTACCACATTTCAAATGATTTCCTTATTCTATACTCAGCAGGGTGACGCATTAAAAACATTCTAACATTCCCTGTGCAGCTCTGTCAGAACATACGGCTCAGCTTCAGAGAAACTGCTTTCTGATTTATGTAGATCTCATATTAAAGCCCTGCTGTGAAGCAGACTTCATGTTTTATTCACAGCAGCGGCCATGTGTTGTGCGCGCACGTGTTTCTATGTGCAGTGTACTGAAAATGTGTCTTGTACTCTGTTGCATCTGACTCGTCACGGGGACAGTGGATTACTAAGCAGGGAGACAGACGACAACAGCAAGGAGAAATAAACGGGAGAGAAGGGAAAGAGGAACAGTCTGAGGCTCTTAAAGCTCATCTCGGAGTCTTAGAGAGAGCAACGCGGTTGATTTGGATGAGCTGGGCTGTATAAGGATCAGTTTAACATTTATTACGCACACAATTTGTGATGTATAAAAAACATGAACTGCCAAATAGTTAAGTGGGATTAAAGATGCGCACGAGCACATGCAGTAGATTACACATCTTCAACAGAACCTTTTAGTTTGTTGCTTTGATGATGCTGTTTTTTGTTAATATAAAAGCCTTTTGTAAAGTCTTTGCTATAAAAACAAAAATTCTAAATTTGATTTGTTGTATTTGCTGATGATAAAACAGGTGAGACGGCAAATTTCAATCTCTTCAAGTCCAAGATTGAAGCTGATGAAAGTCAAGAATCACCTGGACAGAAGCAGTGGCAGCCTACCTCACCAACTCTGTCTGAGCAGCAGTGAAAGTAAAGCACCACCAGAAGTCATCAGAACCATGATATACCTGCTGAAAAATGGCCAAAAACATTGTCTTTTTAGTGTTTTTGCCCTTTTTAACTTACTGGTTTTATTGTATGTCATGTTTTGAAAATGGTCTCCAGTATTTTCCTTTTCGGTATCAAATTTAGATTCTAGGATCGACTGCAGAAAGGCAGCAGAGCTGGTGAACCTCACACAGCCCAGTCTGGTGAAATGTAAAATAATTGCATGATAACCTATAAAAATAAATAAATGATATCTTACCCGTTTCATCTCATCTTTGTGTGTGGCTGTTAGTGTCCAGAGTTTATCAGGCTGACAGCTGTGAGCAAGAAGCTCTTCTTCAGCGTAAGCGATTTATGATTACATAAGTGAGTTATTATCCGTCAAGAAACTCTCCTCTGTCTGTGGAAACTCTCAGATAAATACAAAACAGAAAACACATCACGATGAAAGACACTCCATACAGTTAACTGCAATGTTCTTCAAGACAATAAAAGCCTTTCTCCGCCACTCAGATCAAAGCTGTGTTGACCGTTTTGTTGTTGACGTGCAGTCTTAGCGGACATGTGAACATTCTTATTGTACTGGTTCTATCGATGGGCAGCGCACGACACCAGGCAATAACACAGAGAGTACGAATGAACGATAGGCAGGGAGCAGGCCATCGACTGCTGCAGCCTCCAGGTGAAATAAAGTGGAATTGTTGCTGTATTTGACAACTAAAAAACTCACTTGCGTGTGCACAATGTCATGTTTCATCTTCTGTGAGCAAACCAACAACCACTGCATCATCTGCAAACATGTTCACCTTCAGCTGCGGCACCATTCGGTTGAGACGTGCTCTCCGAGTGTCAGTTGCAGATAAAAGTGCACAAACGCAGCACATTCGTGTTGTTTTGGTCGATCACGATGACGGCTGTAGGTCTTAGTGATCATGGCGACCATGTAAGCTCTTTATGTTTCGTGTTTTTGGTACAAAAACTAGTGAGTGAGGATTTCCAGGGTTTGTGAGCACTGAAACAAACAAACCAGTGCAAACATGAGTATTCAATCACGCATTAAACAAAAAGATTCAGGAGCCGATACATTACTCCGTAATTAATGAGCGGCGTATTTCCAGTGATTCTTAGTGGATTTGTAAGATAATGACGAGAACAAACTGATCTATATTGATAAATCAGAAATGATTCATGAATATCATGAATCATGTGATAACGAGTACACTGACCGCTTTATCATGAGTGGTCCCTGATTAAGTCAGGACCTGCCGACGAGCAGCACAAAGTAGTTAAGGATTAGAAAATATCACCGAGTAGTGAAAGATGCCTCATACAGCCCAGGCAGGGAGTACTCCCACATTAATTCATCAGCATAAAATAATTACTTGCTCTTTCTGTGCTCTCTCAAGTTAAGTGGTGCATCAAACTGAGAGGCTACTGAGTACTGAATCATTACTGTCTGTAAGTTAACCCCAGCAACACACATCCGGCACGACTGCATCGCCTCACAGCTCTGAAGCTGGAGCTGATATTCGTTCCTTATTCCACCAAACGCTCTGAAGCGCATTTCACAAGCGTCCCAGAGCCGCTCTCTGCTCTGTGCCACTTAAAGCAGCGTCCGGTCTGTTTTCCACAGAAGCCACTTCAAGCTTTGCAGAGCTGGAGGGCAGGAAGTCAGACAGAGAAACGCAAAGAGAATCCGGTCGAGCTCCAGAATGAAAGACCCCATGCTGACTAAACGGCCCACTGCTGAAATGCTCCCGGTGCGATTTGAACTGTGCGAAGAATGACACAAAAAGAAAACCCTGCATCAAACACGGGCCAGATCTCAGCTCGGTCTTTGATTAGAACAGTCAGCTGTTTTAATTTCTCTAAGCTTACATTATGCTCATTAACACACGAGGGAAATCCCCCATCAGTGAAGCGGACCGGCAATGACCAACATCCAGCGATGTTAACAATTTGCATCATGAAGCCAAAAATAGATCTGAAGCGTTAAAAGAGGTTAGACGGGATCTGCTGTGCACGGGAGCATTGCTGCTGGTTACACTGGTGACACTGGTGCCAGTTTGGATTCAGGAGACAGACACCCTCACTACGTTTAAAACTTTCCTTTTTAATAAAGTATATCGTTAAGGCAGGATCAGGTAACCCTGAATCCTCCCGTTTTCACGCTGCAGTAGGTCCGGGCTGCTGTGGGCTTCCCATGATGCACTGTTTATACACCACTCTGCAATAGTTATTAATAATCTCTGTCTCTCTTGCACAGTGTGTCCTTGTCCTGTCGTCCTCCGCTCAGCCCTAACTGCACGTGGCACATGGCCCCGCCCCTCCTTGGTCGTGCAGGAGGCTTCTTCCTGTTAAAAGGGAGTTATCTTTCCCACTGTCACCTGGTGCTTGTTAGGGTCTTTACCTCACAATATAAAATGCATTGAGGAGACTGTCGGGGTGATTTTTTACTATGTAAGCAAAACTGAAATGAATCTAAATGAACTGTTTTTTTGCCATGAAGGAGGCTGGGATACTAACAGGCCTGTGGTTCAGATAACATTAGCAGTTCAGATCTGTTGTTAAAGACTTCCACTTGGATATGTAGCAGACAATGACACAAAATGTCTGCAACGGAGTGAAAGCTCATCTACGTTAAATATATAAAAATACTGCTTAGCAAATGGGATCTGTGGAAAGTGCTGTATGAAAACAATCCGGCAGTGCCTGCTTAGCACAGAAAATAGAGCAATCTTGATGCAAATTAGTCTGCTGTGTGATTCTCCGGTAAAGTTATTCATATGTGAAAAAGCGGAGCTCCAAGCGTTTGTTTTGTTTGATGTAGTGGTAGCATGGAGGAGCTCCGGGAGGAGGAGGAGGAGGAGGAGGAGGAGGGCGACAGCTTTACAGTTCAGGTTTTATCCTTTAGATCAGGTTCAGTTAGACAAAACGCAGTCTGTGTGGTGAGAACAAATTGTTTTGTGATTGTTTTTTGTTTTTTTACAAGATGGAGACAAGTTGCAAAGGAGGAGCAGAAGAAAAAAGGACCGCAGCTGAAAATGGAGTTATACAGAGAAGTCGTATAAAGACAGTTTCTGAAATTAGCTGTAATTTCAAAACAAGTCCGAGACGCCTGACGTTTCTCTCATCACTCAAACCACCTGCAGAGGCAGTCAGAGCATTTCACCAACAAAGAGTGCAATCAACTGCATGAAAATTTAAAAAGCTATCACATCTGGAGCTTATGAACAAGCGAGCCCTGATGTGTTATGAATAAATAATAAATAAAAGCACGGCATCGGAGTGAAGCAGAGGTTTAAATGTCGCGCGGTTACAGAGATGAACCTCAAAGGCTCAGTATCTAATGATTCTGAATGGGCCATCATTAGCTTCATATTTCATGTAACATAAAGGTTGATTTGAGCTTTACATCATAACTTACAAAACTCCTTTTATCGCTACACCGCAACCTTCCACGCCATTCAGGTCGCTGTGGTACGCGCTGACCCGACGTGTACTTTTATTTCTCAGGAGGTTCACGTCAGGTTATGTAGAAGGTGGTGGTGTAGGGTTAAGATGGAGACCCAGTTATGGCGGAAGTTAAGACGTAGATGTGATGTAGATGTTTCACTCACATGTAAGGAGGAAATCTAAGCGGTGTGATGACTGTAAAACGAGCATTTTAAGGTCGTGTGAGGAAACGCCAGCAGCACGCAAATGCTGAAGAGGTGCAACTTACTATGGTGAAGTTCATGACTTTGAGGATCCAGATAGTTAGTGCCAAGTTGATCAGGATCAGGATCATCAGCAGCAGGACGAAGAAGTAAAGGCAGCGTTTCCTCCAGCCGTATATTCCCACTTTGTACACTTGTGGTTTCTCTGAACTCTGGACATTGTTCCTATGAGTGCACTGTTCTTGGGTCATCTGAGAGGAGACAGAGAATAAGAAAGGATTATAGCCGAGGGCAGCACGCTGACCTTAGGGTTGCGTACTGCTAACAAGACTGTTTCTCTGGGGTTTGCTGAAAGCCCAGTTCGCACTGACAACATTGTTTATTTGGATAGCTTTTATAAGGCAAATAAGTGTCATGATGCTGTGTTTTTGTCCCCTGTGGGCTGCCGTTTCATCTGAAGAGATTACAGGGCATCTGTGTAGTTAAAGCTGCATTAAAGCTGCAGTAGTCACAGATCTGTGAAAGGCAAATAAAACCAAACAGCACAAAACCAACTACATAAAACATCACAAGTACAAAACGGGCAATCCACTCCCCTCTCAGTTTTAGGACCCACTCCTAAAATAAGCACCGTGTTTTTAATCAGTGGGTAAATGTGCTTCACAAACTGCAAAAAAATAGTCATTTCTGACATTTGGCTTCACACAGGATTCTTCCAGAGGCCTAAAGTATAAAGCAGGACTTGGCTGGATAACTTCAGGTTTAATCTGGGATTTTGACTTCAGTAACTCAAATAACCACGATGAAGGTGAGCAGAAGAGCATCTTTGCAGAAGCAACGTTTTAAGCCTTGAAGCAGACGAGCTACAGCAGCAGAACACCATCCCTGTTAGCTGAAACGGAGGGTGCAGTTCATGAAAGCTCACCAAAATCAGATAAAGGATGTTTGCAGCAGGTTAATACGTCACGTCACAAATCAAACATCATCTCAAACTGGTTTCTTGAACATGAGTTCACTGTACCCAAATGTACCTCACCGAATGCCACCAAGCTTTATGGAAGTTTTCAAAGCCAGTCTCAGCAAGAAGTAACCAATGAAGTGTTGGATTAGCGCGGGTGGCCTTTTCAGCACCACTGGCATCAAAAACATGTTTTGGTCGCACTGACGCAACATCTTTCAAACAGTAATGGTAAACATTTCAGCATTCATCAGGCAAAAGAGCAACATTTCTATTCATCACGGTCCAATCATCGTTTGTCTTTGAGCTCTTATTGGGTCTTCACCGTCTCCTGAGAAAACTGTCTGCCTGTTTAGCTGCTAAATGTTCCACTGGTGCTGGTGTGGAACAGCAATAACAGCATCAATTTACTCTAATCTGGCCTTTATGTATTCAGCCATTATTGTAGCCCCTTGGGGCTGCAGGATGGAGCTGACTATGATTGCTTGGATGCAGCTCTGCGGAGCCACAGAGGAAAATGACTTTAAGATAAGAGATTGGACACAACTGAACATTACTACAAATAACATGCCGTAAACATTCCTCTCACATACTCCTATCCAATAGCTCTCATTTGAGTCACTGACTGGCCACTCAGTCCTTGGCACAATGAAAGAGAGTTTAGTTAGCAATCCCATTGATTGATTACCCCATAAGTGGTCTATAACTCCATTATAACCCCTTGCCCCATTGATGTGCCGATAGCAGCGATTAATGATGATTCTAATTGTCTGCCTTTGATGATGAGGAGGCATTGTTCACTTCTAGCGCCATAATAATGGCCTAATAACTCTGTGGAAAAATACAATTTACTGTCGGTCGCGCTTTGGAGTGCGTGCCTCACACCACCCAAGCCAATTGTTTTTGACAACCACACACATTACCCGCTAACTGAAACAAATGGCACAAGACAGGGCCCCGGTGAGAGAGTGCTGAAGGCTACAGAGGAGACTCCAAAACACCAGTCAGCAAAAATGGGGAAATCTCATTGTGTATGGTCCGATTTTCATTTCTGTGTGAGGGGAAGATGCAGAGAGCTGAAGAGGTGCAGCTTAGCAACGTCCAGGCTGATAGATAAGCTTGAAATAAGCAGTGTGAGAATAAACAAAAGCCAAGTGAGGCGCAAAGCTATCCAAGCGGAGATTGTTCTAAAATAGCATTTAAAGTGGTCACACACACACATTCATGTAGGGGTGTGTGTAACTGTGAATCTTACTAGTTTTAAGTGCAAAAAAGCTGAAGGTTATTATCCTCGTGGCAAATTTTCTCCTTGTTTTTCTGGCTCTGAATTGGCCACCTTCTTTAATCTCACCCGTGAAGCTGTGATCATCTTGTCTGCTTATTTCAATTATCAATTATTATTATCAATAAGCACCAGAGACATTTGAGTTTCTGAAGAACTGAGGATACAAATGCTTCTACTGGATGAACTGGACTTGAAAAGCCACAGAAAATGTCAAAGGAACTCTGCCCATTTCTGCGTGAAATATCAGGGGCCGTTACACAAACACGACACCAACCCTGAGGTCTTTTGGCAGCTGGGATCAAAACCCCAAGGCCGTGTGTGATGTACGGGCCGAGGGACCTCTATAGCTCTTCCTGTACATAGTCCACTCTGAAAATCACTCAAAGCCCTCCACCACAGTGAGAAGGCACAGAGGGAAGAGATTAGCCTGAAGGCGAATGTCAGTTTAGTCTATTTCGGTTTTCACGCTCATCTATAGCCTCAAGTCGTGAATACCGACCAAAAAATAAAAAAATAAATAAAAAAATCAGGCTGCAGATACAAACAGCAGAAATGAGCTTCAGGCCACCGGCTGCTGCTCTTCTGTGTTCCCATAGAGAAGGAGAGAGGGAATTTTCAGTTGCTCTGCTCATTCCTTCATCTGAATCCTGGACATCGGTGACCCAAGATAAGAATCCATTTTATTTATTTATTTTTTAATTACATTACTGCAGTGTGGTAATTACAAGTTATCTGTATAGACAAAATCACAGGTTCACCCTTGATTATCTCAGGCTGACCTCGCAGTTTACCACGAGTGCCCGAATCTTTGGTTCAAAACATAAAACACGGGCACGAACACAACGACCAACAGCTGCATGAGCCAAAAGTGGCCAAGGCTGTTTGATCAGCTCTCTGGCAATATCCTCGCAGAGCCTGGGAGAGGGAATTAATGATGCCCCTCATCCTGCACAACACTTGCTTTTCTGCTTCCATCTGCAAGAAGCCCTTCCAAATATGGCTGCGAGTCATGGCAGACAAACCGCTGTCCTGTCCAATCACCCGTTTCAACAGAATCCAGTTCAAATGACATTTGTTTACAAAAAGAATCCCGATTATGAAAACACACACAAACATTTGTTAAGCTGAGAAAATTAAAGAAGTTTGCGCAGAGCTAAAGTCTTCAGAAAGAAATTTGGAAACGAGTAGTGAATAAACTCTGAGATGAAGCCGAGTTGAAGTGAATAAAAACAATTTCTAATTCCCCCAAATCCTCGGGCCACGCCACTCAACTTTCAATTTCATTCAGAAATAAAGCTAATATCTTGATTTGATGTGGTTTTGTGCAACTCCCACAAAATCTGCTTTGCAGAAACAAAACAAACTGAACTGAAAAAGTCCTTGAAGAAAAACCCCACAAACGCACACAGAATGCTTCAGGAGTTGCCAAGCTTCTCCAGGTGTTGTGGAGACGACAGCCTCGGCAGCTTGGCAGGAAAGCAAGTCTCCCAGTGACACCAGCATCAAGTCAGATGGAGAAGTGTGTGTGTTCCCATCCATTCATGTGTAAATGTGTCACATTTCAGAAAAAACCTTCCACGATCTGAACGCTTCTGTACTGAATGTGTTTCCAGTCAGGGTGGTGAAGGGTGAAGCAACGTCTGCAGCAAGCAGGAACAACTACAGAAACAATGCCCCCCACTGAGACTCCACCTCCCACCTGTATGCGCTGAAGGATAATTACTGAATTTGTTTTCCACACCTCTGTGGACCAGTGTCTTTGTGCTATTTTACTCAACTCTAAAATGTGCATTCATCTTTTTAATAATGTGCTACACACCTCTTATATAAGACAGAGAAGAATGTTTACAGCCTGCAGTGAGAAAGGGCTACTCCTATTTTTCCTCACGTGTCATCGAACGTGCACGGTCGACCGCACCAGCTTAACCAGAAATAATTTCCCTTTAGTGAATATTTCCACTGAAATATTCACTAAACACACTAGACACAATTGCTGTAAATATTTCTTGATTACATTATATACTTTTATTCCACACCAATGATTAAAGAGTGACTTAAATAGGATATTAAGTTAATTTATATCATAACATGTTCTACTACATAATACCATACTGTCCCATACCATATTATAAACTATTTGTCGAGGAGTGAAGAGAGTATCGACCAACATAGACACTGATGATGACCTTAAAGTGATAGTGTATTTTAATGACAGCAGGAAACGAATACAAACAAAAGCAGAAAGCGACAAAGAACTAAACAAAACCTAAACTGGGAGCAACTACAAAAATAAGTATAAAAAAACCAAAGACCTGAGATGTGGAGGACGGCACATGAAAACCATCGACAAGGATCATGGACCCTGGAATATGGCGAAATACAGCAGGAGATACACAGCTGATCCAACAACAAACAGAGGAAGACAGAGGGCTTAAATACACAGAGATAACGAGGGAATGAGACACAGGAAGAGAGCACAGCTGGGAGTAATCACACACAACGAGACCAGGCGAAGCAAACTGAAAACAGTAACACGGCACACGAGACTGTCAAAGTAAAACAGGAAACACGAGACAGGCACAGAGACGCGGGCTTGACACTGAAACAATGAGAGGCACAGACATGAAAACAAAACGTTACATAAGGAAGCACAGAGGCAGAAACGAAGAGACTAGAGCATGACACTAGGAAATAATGAACTATTCTTCAACTTATTGTATGCAAAGATAAATTTCTTAGTCTCCGTATCGTTGCCTAAAACTGGAAGCATGTTTTTTAGAAGTAGTAAAGTGAGAGAATGCATCAGCCTGAGCAGCTCAATACCATTTATGGGGCATCCAATAGCACCATTTTGTTGAAGTGAATGGTGTTTCTTTTATTTTTATTTGGTGTCTGTGCCATGATCATTTGGGCTTACAGCAGCACTGATACAGGATTCTCTTCAGATCACACTTAGGTCTAATTATGAGATGTAACCCTGAACCTCATCCTGTGGTTTCTTTCCACCA